GATGTTGAAAAAGATTAGAGAAACCTGTCACGAAAATATGCCAAAAATCGTGTTTCTCCTATGATTTGGCCTATTTATTTCTTAAGGCTGGGTGGGCTGGAGCCCAAGCTGGGCAAAAACTGAAGCTCCCTCCCCAAATGAAAAGAAAACTACACCCCTGACCAGGGCACCCGCAAGGAAATCAATAACGACGCCTCAGCACTAGGATGCGAGCAGGTCGGGGCGCGGGACGGCTCGGTACGGAGTACCGGACGCGACGGACGATACAGAGCAGGGCGGGACAGAGGCCGGGGCAGAACAGGACAGCACAGAGGACGGAGTAGAGCAGGACAGGATAGAGGCCGGAGCGGAACAGGACAGCACAGAGGACGGTACAGAGCAGGGCAGGACAGAGGCTGGAGCAGAACATGACAGCACAGAGGACGGAGAAGAGCAGGACAGGATAGAGGCCGGAGCGGAACAGGACAGCACAGAGGACGGTACAGAGCAGGGCAGGACAGAGGCTGGAGCAGAACAGGACAGCACAGAGGACGGAGTAGAGCAGGGCAGGACAGAGGCTGGAGCAGAACAGGACAGCACAGAGGACGGTACAGAGCAGGGCACGACAGAGGCCGGAGCAGAACAGGCCAGCATAGAGGACGGAGAAGAGCAGGTCAGGATAGAGGACGGAGCAGAACAGTACAACATAGAGGGCGGAGCGGAGCAGGCCAGGCCAAAAGACTGAGCCTCAACCCGAGAGACGTTCGTTTTCTTTTTTAAATGAATCATGAGTGTATCCGGAATTTCGAAAGTTTAGTTTGGCTACTACAACAGGCTAATAAAACTTCCTTTCTCCAAATCTTACGAATTTGGACCGAATTCCTGTGGGCACGGACCGTTGACGCTCTCCTTGACTACGTCTCCGGTCCTCCGTGCACGCATTCAACAGGTGCATTGACCTGGCTAGCATGGTGTTGCATTGCATTGAATCTCTAACCCATCCAGGCAGTATGGCTCTTCAGGATTAGCATCATCATATATAAAATATAAAAAAGCAGATCGGAACTAAAGCAAATACGCCAAGGATGAAATAGCGGCAATAGTCGTCGACGAATAGTCGACGCTGCACGCCTGTTGCGATTCAAGCGCCGAAGTTTATAATATTATTAATCGGGCCAGCTGATTCTTTGTTGTTTCACTCCACACGGAGATGCAGCATAGAACGTGGGAAATACGTGAGTTTTGATCGTCAATTTGGACATTTTCTGGGTAAAAAGGGGCTGAACCGATGCAGTGCTATCAGAGGGGCGTTGCACCTTTTGACGATGTGGCCGATGTGAATGTCCCAGGAAATGCATGGGTCGATGGTCACACCCAGATGTCGCATAGACGACGTGGGTTTGGTCACCGACCCAGCTATACTTAGTAGTATTTAGCTTTGTTGATGTTTTGATTGGTCCCGATAAAAAGTGAAATCTGTTTTTCTGGGCTCATTTTGAGTGAATTCAATCTGAGCCAGCGATGTAATGCGTCCAAAGACTTTTCAACACGACGTTCAGTGATTCTAGACGTTGAGAGTCGGGCGGTGAGTGATCAAGCAGCTGGGTGTCGTCAGCATATGCTATCACTCGACAGCCCAATTAGTGATGGTGAAGGTTATCTTTTAACGGGCCGAAGAAGATCGGCCCGGTGATAGACCCCTGGGGCACCCCTAAACGGACCGGCAGAGTCGCCGCACCTTCTCTCACCAGCTGCCTCCGGCCGTCCAGGTAGCTGTGGAATCATATTGGGTCGTTCCGTACCATCCCAGCTTGTTTATGAGGACGCTATGATCAACGATGTCGAAGGCTTTGAGGAGGTCGGCGGCGGTAGCTGAGGGAATCTGGCCGAGTTCTGACAATCACAGACAATTATGTCAGTAGTTTCAGACAAGTGGGATAGAGGGGAGAACTGGCGATAGCTGGAGAGCTTGTGCGCGTCGCCCCACCCAACACACCCTATAAATTTGGTGCCTCTAGCCTTTACTTTCTGATATCTCAGAAGGGTCAAATTTACCCCCACTCGAGCGGGCAGTCTCTAACCGGCAACCCGGGCGCGTGTTAACAAAAATTAGTATAAGCGGGGGCGAAACTCATTGTTTGCCGTCGTGGCGGTCAAAATACCGCGCCAGAACGACTCCGGAAACGTTTTTGTCCCATTGTTTCGTCATCATGAACCAATTTCTCATTTTACGGTTGTGAATTTTACCTCATGAGACCAAATCATAAATAACCACACACGTGAATTGACGAACGCTATATTATGATGGCACAACCACGCAGCCGTAGTAAACAGTGACGGCTAATTTGACAGCCCTGGTGGCAAACCATGTAGTTTCACTTCTGCTCATCCTATGTTTCGTGTATTTCAGATTTGATGCCAAATCGGGTCTCCACATAATCACGCTGGCGTTCAGCTTCACAGAAACCAGAATTTTCTTGAGTGGGTAAGGCGAAGTTCAGTGAAAACTCATCCCACTGATGGTTGGCCTGCTGTCAAAAGCCATCATTGACTCTGAAATGAGATCAAAATGCAGGCTTAAGATGTAGGGAGGTACCCCAACCCCTCTCCCTCGATTGTGTGTGAACAGGAGGTAACCATTGCGGTGGGTTACAACGATTTCATCCACTCCTTTAATATAACACGTCAAATGTGAAGTTTAAGTGTTTGAATATGTGACATAATCCTCATCACACATTTTCCTACCGACGACTGTTGTTCATACCGACCATAATTCAAGAACCTTTGAGAACAATCGCCTGCCACCGATAGCCTCAGCCGACAACTGCCGATGGCGGCATGCCGAGTGGCGTTCTGGGCATCCTGGAACATCGCTTAGCCGAGCGCGGCCTGGGTCACGGAGAACAGCTCACCATACGTGTGGACTGCGCTACGCCGCGGCCGGGTTTACAACCGTCGCCGGTCCTGAAAACCCCTGCCTGACGTGGAAAAAGTGACAATCATAAGGGAGTAATTGCACCTGTTTGTTACCTTCGACACTTTTCGGCTCGCTCGAATCTTGCACCATTCGGCTTATAACATGCGATTTCGTCAGCTGATGCGAATTTCATGACCTTCGCGGGTGGATGCACGACGGTCTCTGCGGGTGTCATGAAGGCCGTCCTTTGAAACCCACAATGGAAGGCGTGGCGGTGGGCTGGAATACGGCGGCACAGTGATCTAAATGTCGCTACGCGGTGTGGATGCTCGGCAATTATTAGTTTTGAAAACTGCAAAAAAAAAACTGAAGCATGGTCCTGAAATACCGCAGTCGTATGTAGCGTCTCATTTCGTGGAGTGGCTGTGGTGTTGTTTTGCATTAAGCGCAGTTTTATTTCACAAGTTCACGGGATGCGACGCTCGTGAATGTTGAACATTCACATGAACACAAACAATAACATAACAGCACAACGTAACATAATAAAACAAGCATCCACATGTGCGTGAATGATTGCTACCTATTGAAATTCAAAGTAGACAAGACTAAATCAATCGAGAACGTATGATGCTCACGAACTCCAAGGAGCCTCACACGCCCACGGCGCGCTTACCGAGGATTTCCGTAAATATTCTAGCTGTGCCCCCGCCTCATCACGAATTTTTGCGTACCGCCCTGGGTGTTATATGCCAGTCATGCTATTTGTGACGAGAGCAAATGAGTCGATAAGTTGAAGAACAAATTCTTTGACCGCAAATAGACGAAAGCAAACTAAAATAGTTGAAGAAAATCTGTTCTCGAAGCATCGCGCAAATAGCCATTTATAATGCAAGGTCAAAGCTATTTTGGTCGAGCTAGAGAACACCCGTTTTGCAGTCTTATCTTTTCGCTCTGAGTGTCAGTCACTCTGAGCACGGTATTGATCATGCTGAGGGATATGCATGCGCAGTTGTATTCCAGCTAAAGACGAGACCCTTCCGCTCAGTGTATGCCGCACTACGGCCGCGCTGTCTCATCAATGGCGTGTTTTCTGGCCTAAGAATAACTCCATCGTGCTACCGAGCATGAAAATGACGCACAATTTGTGACGTAGAGCTGCATGCGTGTACGGGTAAGCTGCAGATGCTTGTGGGCACAGGCGTCACACGACCGGGCCGGAGGGCGCATGCACTTGAGATCTGCCGATGGCGCTTGCGCGTGAGAGGGGCGGACCGATTCCTTAGCTCTTGACATTGTCCTCGTTTGAGGACCATGACATCACGTGACATTCCTTGTTATCACTGCGAGGCTCCGCTACAGCGGCTCAGTGCGAACTAAAGCGGACAGTCCCCAGCGCGGCGCGGCTCTCCGGCATCAAGCGACCTTGTTGTGCTTAGCTACTGCTATTTAACATGCCCCCTCAGCCTGCTTAATATTCTAGCGAAGCCGTTCTTCGGCGCGTCCCGCGTCTCGCTATTCCTTGTCACTGGACAAGCGGCAATTTGCCACACACTGCATCGCTACAGCAGCCCTGAGTGACGGTTTGACGCAAAACAATCCAGGAATGCACCCCGCCAATTATGCCTCGCTTCCGTCACTCCCAACCGCGTTGCCGCACATTTCCTTGGAGACAGGGCAAGCAAGGCATCGTGGAGTCGATGTGTTTTGGCCGCAAAGTTTGATGCAGTCAAACCGTCAAGACGGTATGAGACAAAAAAGGCTGAGTGACGGTTACTTCTTTGGCACCGTCGGGGTCCTAGGCACAATTCACGTCAGCTGCCTCTGCACTCAAAGTCAACATTTCTGGGGAGGACGTCGGGAGCGTGCCGCCAGTCTCCCGAGTCCTCCCACAAAACGCCCACTCGCTCCCTGACCGCAGCGGCGCCACCTCCAGCGCGCAGAGTTACCTCGTAAAAATCGCGCGCCGCCGCTCACCTCACCCATCGATCGACGGCTGCGTCACGGCGCTTGTGCGCCAGACGGACGGTCGCCATGGCAACGCGCAGCGGCCGTCTGCAGGCGGAGCAGCAGCGGCGCGGGCGGCGGGGCGGCAGCCGGCGGTCGGGTGCCGGGAGGGGCGGAGGCGGTGCGGTGCCAGTGGTGGTGAGCCGCACCCCCGCCCCAGGCCATGGGCTGCGCGCTCTCGGCCGAGGAGCGCGCCGCGATGGCGCGCAGCAAGCAGATCGAGAAGAACCTGAAGGAGGACGGCATGCAGGCGGCGAAGGACATCAAGCTGTTGCTCCTGGGTGAGTGGGCGGGGCAGCGCGGGTCGATACACGGGCCGTGTAGTGTGCCGGCTGCGGGGCTATAAACATGCGCTTGGCTGCAGGCGGGCCGGGTCCCGCTGGTCGTCATTTGCGCCCAGTCATAACAGTTTGGGCGACCGAATGGGCGTCGTGGGCGGCCCCAGTGGCGTTCATGGGCACACGTGGGCTGCGCTGGCGCTCTCTCCTCGCTCCCCCTCCCCCGCATGCCACATTCCGCCCACAGGCCCTCCCGAAAAGGTCTTTGGGACAGGCAGCAGCCAACTTTGGTCTCGCCGCGGATTTAAGATCAGGCTGAAATGTGAGAGCGGTTCATGCATTTTGTCGGGTGATAAATGACGACGTTCGAAAAGGTTTCTACGGTGGAATGATTAACGAATAAGCTCTAAACTAACCAATGACTACTGAGAGGACGACAGAGAATTGATGAACGGTTATAAGGGAAGCTGACAAGAAGTGCCACGATGAGGTGCGTTAAGACATGCAAAAGATGGGGAACTCCATGTCGAGGATATTCTATTCATTCTTCGGTAAAGGCTCATGTCGACTTTCAAAAGCTATTCGGGGCCATAAGCCTCGATTCCTCCGTTCCCGCTACAAGAGCGCCTGATGGATGGGCCAAAATATCAGTCGGTGTGCGTTTGGTCGGTTGATAGGCACCGTAAAAGCGAAAAGCGACACGTTTACATGCTAAAAAGACAAACGGCACGTGACGAAATGGCAAAAAGACAGGTCAAAAAAGGGCTGTCCAGGAGCACGCCAAATGCCGCACATCAATGAGGCGCTTCGTGCAAGACAACCACGGAGACAACTAAAGCCACGCCACCGCTACGGGCCTGCATTGAGATGGCTCCCACGGCTACCTGCCCCCAGTTCTAGCGTTGTCGGTTTGCTGCCCGCGTGCGTGTGCATATGTGCCGCAAACCAACGCCATCTTTATCATTACATCTGTAGCTGTGCATCTTCCAGTAAAAAGGTTACGAATCCAAGACGCGTGGGTGTGTCGCGTGCGTTCATCAATGACGCATGGAAAACACACTGTCCATAATCGGGTCATCAACCATTCGTGAACACAGCTGAAGTAAGCCAGTTGTCGACATCCGACTTATGTCGTACTCAAGGCTCGAGTCCGTTGAATTTATCACGTATATATGAAAATTTTTGATATGTTCTCTACGGTGCTTTCCGTAGATACGCCAGCACACGCAAAAGTTGTTGGCATGAAAGTTTGTTCTACTCGTAGATTGTCTTTTCACATATCCAATGACGGAACTGCGCCTATCTGTTGAGAGGCATGGGCTTTAGGAGTCACTGTAACGCGTCAAGAGGGTGGGTGATCTTCATTTCTTTTATCTGACCCTCATGAAATCAGGAGGCTCTACTTCAACGGATAATCAAGATTGCTTAAATGTGTTCTGAAATAAGGGCTTGACATGGCCTTCCAAGGCGGTGCATGTGGCCACAAGTCACAAAAACCGCTGTTCTGAAACGTCGAACACCCTTTTGATATGCCGTGATAATAATGGCGTATTCGCTTGAACAATGTTTCCTAGTTAAAAGGTCGGTTATATGCATCACACAATCACATAATGCGGTAAAACCTGAGGCTTTAACCCCTTCTTATCACACTAGGCACTGGGCCCCGCAAAGACACGTCTAAATAACTTCCACGCTAGCAGCAGCGGCTTGTAATTCAAGAAGGCGGTTTTCATTTCGAACAGATATCATACTACCGAAATGTCGTCCCTTTTGACTTTTGTCTTCTTTCGTAACACCACCGACTGAAACACCGTCACAAAGAAAACATCGTTGCCGCCACCTCGTCCCCTGCTACCCTCAGAACTCGCCCCCTGCTATCCTTATGCTGAGAGCAAAAAGTAACAAAATTATTCTAGCGTTAAGAGCAGGTTCTAGCAAAGAATAAAGACATTTGACTGATCCGAAGAGTATGCCACAACTTCCGAATGATCGAGCCACAAAAAATGACCAAAAATTACGCTATGTAACCCAGCCCCGTCATGTGATGAATGTTTAGCACCAAAAGGTATGAATACGTTGCTGCACTCTGTTAACAACACTGGTGGTCACGACAGGTATCCGCAGCAATGTAAGTGGATTCACGGAAATCACCAGAGCATCAATAAGTGTATCGAAAGCCGAAGAGCGACAGCATGTGGAACCATCGTTCGGGCTATTGTCCTCGTCTAGTGTGTTAGTCTCTACACAACTCTTCGGCCGCTGCCAGGTGTTGTGTAGTCCTTAGAATGACTGAATGATGTTTGGCTCTTGGCTATATCCCTGGAAAATGGGACACATGCTCCGTAAAATTGTAGCCGAAGGGCAATTGATGGCTAGCTTGATTGACTTTGGACCAAGCGGATCTTATTCCATACAATTGTTTCTTCCGCACGTTGCGATGATTTGCTTTTCACTACAGCATTCTGTAGTGAAGGTTAAGCTATAAAGGCGAAGTTAAATCACCTGCAAGTGACATGCAATGTCCCAAAAGGCATCCGCCATCTTTACCCTTCGCGATTTCATTCGCAAAGCACCAGCCGCCGGCATCCTAACTGTCATCGTTCACGTTAAAATGCCAAGCGTTTGGTCGTCGCCTGCATGCAGACGCGATTCATGTGGCGGGGGGGGGGGGGGGGGATGTGCCAGCGACCGCAGTGGTGCGGCTTGCCGACCGGGCTCGCCGGCTCCAGCACCGGTCCCCACTTGGATCCGGGTCCGGGTAGCGGCGCGCGGAGCCTCCTGCGGTGGTGCCGGCCTGAAGTCTGGCGTTGATGCAGGTGCCAGTGTCAGCGCGGGGGAACCACCCGCCTTTTGATCGCCGGAAGCCGCGGGACTGGGCGGGAGAGGTTGGGGCCGTGGCCAATAGCTGCTGTCCAAGCAGTGGTCGACTCCCCGCAGTGGCCGCAGTGACTGAGACCTGACAGCCCTATCGGCGAACGAGAGCTGACAGTCACGGGGGAGACGGAGACCGCGAGAGGTCCCGCCCGCGAGCGGGCCGTGGCGTGGGAGAGACGGAGACCAGTCAGCCCCGGCCGCGAGCGTGGCGTAACGCGGGAGAGACGGAGACCAGTCGGTCCCGGCCGCGAGCGTGACGTAACGCGGGAGAGACGGAGACCAGTCAGCCCCGGCCGCGAGCGTGGCGTAACGCGGGAGAGACGGAGACCAGTCAGCCCCGGCCGCGAGCGTGACTTAACGCGGGAGAGACGGAGATCAGTCGGTCGCGACCGCGAGCGTGGCGTAACGCGGGAGAGACGGAGACCAGTTAGTCCGCCACCGAGCGATGTGCCTTGACCCCGCGTGCTAACACCGCGCCAGAAATAGCCGCCCGGCGACTGGATACCGGACAGCCGGTGGTGACACCGGGGGAGCACTGCTCGGAAGCACCGAGCCAGCAGCAGTCCGGCGCCTCCGACGTCACCTTAATGAGGTCCCGGGCAGGGGGCGCGGCGTGGCGACCTGGCCGTGGCGAGATGGAGCTCCGGCGCATCGTCCGTCGGGTCTAGTGCTTTCAGTCGATGGCGCTCCCAGCTATATCTGGCTTGAGATGTGCATGCAATGTGGCTGTGGAAGGTGCGCAATTGGTGTATGGTCGTTTGGGGTTGTAAGGGGGCGTGACATTGGGGAAAGCAATAGTTTCCCGCTGAGGCCGGGGTGAACACGGTAATCTTTTACATTTAACGTCTTATTGGTCACAGATTCTGTGTGCGTCATCTGGAAATCAGCTATCGGAGCGCTACACAACGGTAATCGTTGGCTGCTCCGTATAAAACTGATTTAACTGTCGCCCATCGACTGAAAGCACGAGCCCCACCGCGCTGTAAGTTATTGATTTTCCCATGTGTCTCGGCACCAGATATTCCCTATGAGTAGTGGTCGGTAAACACGTCCGTATTTGACCGGCGCTGGCTGGCGACAGGTCAGTGAGCCAGAACACTTGAGAGCACAGCTATCCACCTCGGCAAGTTGTCAGCTAACGCCGCCGTGCAGCCAGCTGCACAGTTCTGACTAGGGACTGCCGCGGCTAACGGAGCGTGAGCGCCGTCACGCCCAGCAGAGTTCGCGCGGGGCAGTGCCCCTGGGCTGAGCTGCGATGAGCTGACGCCCGAGCGGCTGGGCTGAGATCGCAGCACCCGAGCGGCTGGGCTGAGCTGTGACGAGATGCGGCTGACGTCCGAGCGGCTGGGCTGAGATCGCGGCACCCGAGCGGCTGCGGTGAGATCGCGGCACCCGAGCAGCTGGGCTGAGATCGCGGCACCCGAGCAGCTGGACTGAGATCGCGGCACCTTAGCAGCTGGGCTGACCTGCGACGAGAGGCAGATGACACCCGAGCGGCTGGGCTGAGATCGCGGCACCCGAGCGGCTGGGCTGAGATCGCGACACCCGAGCAGCTGGGCTGAGATCGCGGCACCTGAGCAGCTGGGCTGAGCTGTGACGACAGGCGGTTGACGCCCGAGCGGCTGGGCTGAGATCGCGGCACCCGAGCAGCTGGGCTGAGCTGCGACGAGGGGCGGCTGGCGCCCGAGCGGCAGGACTGAGAACGTGGCACCCGAGCAGCTGGGCGGAGCTGCGACGAGAGGCGGCTGATGCCCGAGCGGATGGACTGAGATCGCGGCACCCAAGCGGCCGGGCTGAGATCGCGGCACCCGAGCAGCTGGGCTGAGCTGCGACGAGACGCTGCTGACGCCCGAGCGGCTGGGGTGAGATCGCAGCACCCGAGCAGCCAGGCTGAGATCGCGGCACCCGAGCAGCTGGGCTGAGCTGCGACGAGGGGCGGCTAACACCTGAGCGGCTGGGGTGAGGTCGCGACACCCGAGCGGCTGAGCTGAGATCGCGGCACCCGAGCAGCTGGGCTGAGCTGCGGCGAGGGGTGGCTGACGTCCGAGCGGCAGGACTGAGAACGCGGCACCCGAGCAGCTGGGCGGAGATGCGACGAGGGGCGGCTGACGCCCGAGCGGCTGGACTGA